GGACATGATCAGGATGTAGGGCTCTGAGGTTGAGGTTTTTACAGCAGTCACTGAGTATTTTTTGAACAGCATCTGCAGCTGGGAGAATTAAAAAGGCTCTTCCTTCTCTCAAAGTTTCCAACTATAATCTTTCTACTTCAAATACGTTTATTAGATAGCCACCTTAAGATACTAGTAGTGATGTAGACGAAAAGTAATTCAGATCCCCATATCCCTGTGTCCAAGCAATTTCACATTATTGTTGAATCTGCACAAACAGCTCATCATTAATTTTTCTAATTTTACCAGCAGACAATTGTTAGAAATCAAGATTTAAAGAACTATTAAAGAGGAAACTTGAACTGCTCCCACTTTCTATTGGTAGTTACTGCTGTGAAATCCAGGGGAAGGTGTGTCTCTGGGATAATGAAATCTATTAAAAGTAAAACAATAAAAAAAAATTGTCCTCTCCTACAAGTGGGTGACAGATTCATTTCAGAGAAGGCTTCCATGTCAGCTCCTTTGCAAACCAGAGATAATCGGAACATATGAATAGACGTATGCTTTTAAGCCAAGTAAAATGCCCAGGACTAGGCCAAGAGACTTCTCTCGGGGGACAATAAAGTAAACAGGGTGCAAACAGGCATTCTAGCCCCTCCCTCCTGGCCACTGTGGATAAAGCGGTGTCAGCATTTCCATTTGAGCCCCCCACCCCCTTTTCAGGGGCTTTATAACTTAGCCATAAAAATTAGTTCCAAGCAAAAACTTGGCACACAAAATTTCAGCCTTAGAGTGAACTTTTTTTTTTTCTCACAAATTGTCAAAGGGGAAAAAAACTCCAGCCCGTTGGCTATTTCTACTTTTTTTTTAAGGCACAAAAATAGAAAACAGAAATGTACTGGTTGTGCACTTTTTTGGAACTCTTACAAAAGCATTTATAGGCCATTATGAGGCATGAGTGTTCTTGGAGTACTCTAGGTTTTCTAGACAGATGATTTTACAAGACTAACATCATCAGTGCTAGTGAGGCGACTTTTCAAAGCTCTTCTCTCTTATATCCTTTTCTTCGCAATCACGTGGAACAGATCTGCCTTATAAACAGGCGTGACGGTTCTGATGTACACAATAGCGAGGCGTTGTGGTCTATTAGCTCAATAATCCATGCTCTGAAGTATCCGTCAATATAAATTTAGCCAATAGACCGCAGAGACTGGGAAGGAGCTTCCACAGTTGGAGGAGCGGCTGCAGTGTGTTCTAACATTCTCCCAATATGTAGGAAAACAATGGGGTCGGCTGGGAGTTTTCAAACTCCTTTGAAAGCAATGGGCCGAGTTCCCACTCTGTGTAACTCTAGGGGAAAATTAAATAACTTTAAATAGCAGTACTCAAAACTTAATTAACATGATTCAGGCAGAGTTGTGCAAGTTTGGTGATACAAACCGCGAGTGGTAATAGAATCACACTTGTGGCTAACGGTGACTCACCCCATTGTTCAAAAATACAGAGGAGGTCTGGGAGCAGCTTGTGATGTTTCGACACCATCTGGGCTACAACAACTTGGTACAAGCAGCTGACAAGTGAAGGGCAGTGGCAATGAATTAAAATAGGAGGCACACTCAAACTTTGTGAGCTTGTCATTTTGTCAAGAAACATAATGAAAGAGTTTGCATCCTCGTCGTTAGTCGTAGTATTACGGTTATTTGTACTCAGATTGCTTGTGTTAAGTTACACGGAGACCGTAACCACTGAACTCAAACCCCCCCTTTGATTTTACACTTAATTTATATGTTACTAATAGCCAACTGCTGTCTAAAGCCTTTTTGATTCATGCTCTGTTTGCTTTCCTTCTGTGAGGTTTATGATCAAGGGACCTAATTTGCTGGCTTCATTATAAACTGCATTTTGGACAAAATATGAACTAATGGGGTTGAATTTAGGCTCTCGACTTTGCCTCAAAAGTCAAACCATGGCTTTCTAACAAAGAGGTATTTAGCAGTGTCATTGGAGCATTTAGCTTCCTGAAGTTCACATATGATTAGAAGTTAAATATCTAAAAATCCATTTATTTGCTTAATAACACTGCCAAATTGAACCCGTCTGTGGTTTCTGCATTATAAAGCCACTAAAGGACTCTTTTGAGGTACGGTGTATGTGATTACCAACTTAATAGATTTCCACCAGCACCATTCAAATGAAATCATCATTCCTCATGGATTGGGCACCTAGTACCGCAATGCCCTGTGTCAGGCACTGGGGGCTACACAGTTTTTGTGTTTTCCTCTATGATCATGCTGATTATGTTGTAGGTTCATTATTTGAGTCCAGGTCTGCCCTCCATCCCTTCTTCCCATTATTTGATGGAATTTGTTCATGCCTATAGCCCATGGTCCATAGAATGGAGAATGGAGTAGGTTGAGCCCTTCTTACATGTGGCCAACAACAATTGAGTGTAGGGTCCTATCCTAAGCATGTTTCCTGAAAACACACACACACACACACACACACACACACACACACACCCTCCTAAAATTCTCCAACAACCTGAGAGGCAGGAGTATAACAATATCCCCCATATTACAGATGAAAAAACAGGTACACAGAGATATTAGGCTCCTGGCCAAAGTCACATACAAGTAAAAGATGTGGCTGGGATTTGCATGCAGGTATCTGTCAACAAAACCTGGTGTTTGAACCCACGCTCTTCTGTCCGTCTCGATGTGCACTGCATGATTCTACCATAGAGTGCCTGCTCTCAAGGAAATGGTCATCTGGTTGAGCTGATGGGCTCTGCAGTACTCATGACACACCTGTGGAATGAAGGACCGTGTGTGACTAGGAACTAAAGGTGTGGGACAGGTAACAGGTGCTGTACGTAGCATCTGAGATGTCAGCTATTGCTGTATGCTGGCATGCTAGCCAGGGAAGGCTTCATGGAGAAGGTGTGACTGCTTTTGAGATTTGAGGATATAAAGGATGTAGACAGGTAGTAAAGAGGTGAGAGTTATTTCTTTGTTGGGAGGGAGAAGAAGGGGAAACAGAGTTCAGCCTGCAGGACAGGCAAACCTGGGCAAGGAATAGTAAGAGAGGTTGTGTAGCTATGTGGGGGCCATGAATGCCAGGGTGAGAAATATATAGAAACAGAACTCAAAGAAAAAGCATGATCATGTGGTTAAGCATATGGCTTAGAAAATCATCATCTTTGAGTTTGTTTAACAACCTAGGAAATGGAATGTGTTCAGAAGGCCTTTGCTTTTTCAGCATGGGAGAGAGGTACCACCTACTTCTCCCTTTGCAATGCAACAGCTGGGCCCCTGTCCTTCCTGCCTTCCGTGAGCAAGGGAGCTGCTACCGTCTGAGGTCAGCAAAGTCAGGTCAGGAGGACCCGGGCAACAATTTATCTGTTTTCGGCAGGTGCTGGTGCCTGAGTTTCCCTGGCTGGACATCCTGGATACTGATGACTACGTCAGGCACTCCTTGGATTAAGAATTCAGCCTATCATGTTAAGATCTAGAGAATTCAGCATATCATGTTAACTCCGGTGAGTCTTCCCCCATTGTCCCACAAAAAGTAGTTATTCTTACCATCTTTCCTAAAATCTGGTTCAAAAGCATATGTGTTCCAAAAATCTCAAATTGACATCCAGCTAATACAAGATACCACATCATAAAACAGTCATCAGGACTCAACTGGGTGAGCCCCACACGCTTGGAAAATAGATATTAATATTTGGACTTCCACTTGAGATATTCATATTTGGCTGAGTTCTCTCTGCCAAATTAGAGCCCGCAATACTATAGATTCTCAAAATGAATTTCTCCAGGGGCCACAGGTGATCTAGGCCTAGGGCAGGTACATTCTCTTGCTTGAGCCCCATGGGGGATTTTTGACATTTTAGGTGGAAGGGGTCTCACTGTAGTTACATTTTTAGAGAATATTTTTTAAAAAGCATCAGATCAAAAATATTATCAACGTTTTCATGTGCCTTAAACTGATAGAATTCAATATCAGCAGGTACCACCCTTCCCCCAAGAGATCACCCCCTCTCTTTCATCACATGAGAAACCTGGAAGCCCAGGGAAGTGAGTGATTTGCCAGCACTGAAAGCAGGTGTGACACCGAGGTCTTCGGACTCGCACTCCTGTGCTTTCACTAGTTCACTGTGCTCCTTCCTAATTTATCTTTGAGGCCATTCAGGTGCTTGGGGCTAATTAGAAAGAGCACATTGGTAAGGCTAATGAGCAGAGAGGCACCAGCTTTGAGTCAAAAATCCTAGGCTTCAGTCCAAGCTCTCACTACCTGGAAGACCTAGAGTAAATCATTTAACTTTTCTGATACTCAATTTCATCATCTGTAAAATGTGTATAATAATAACAATAATAATAATAATAATAATAATACCAAGTGCCCTGGGCTGTTAAGAACATTAAGAAAGACACTACATTGGAACTGATTTAGTTGTAAAAAGGGATGAAAATATGATTTTAAAATGTGATAATGATTGTATTGGCATGGTTTATATCTGTGTATTTCTTCTCTCCCACTCCCCCTAAAATTAATAAAACAAACAAGAAATGGTAGAAAAGACTCCATTCCTGCCAATTTTGTCTTCTAAATTGAGTGCCCTTGGAAGGTTACAAGGCACAGGACACAGGGCACATCCTAAATCTTTGCTGCTGAAATACATCAACGTGCTGTCCGTGGTTGTTTCAGGGCCCAAAGAATGTGGGAAATCCTTTTTTTTTTTTTTAAATTCCCTTTTATTTTCTCAATTATTGACCATGAAAATGAATTCGTTTTATAATTAAGCAAAAAGCATTTTAAAATAAATCTTGTGGTACATTTGTAAAGGTCTCCATTTGATAGCAATAATAATTGCTTCCATTTATCCATTGCTTAGTATATGGCATATTCTTTACCTATTTTGCTTTATTAAGTTTTGGAAATTCTGCCTGTGTGGTAAGTACTATTGCTCCATTTTAAGACAATAACCTGAAGCTCCGGGAGATTAAAGCCCTTGCCTGAGGTTGCACAGCAAAATCCACGAGTCGCTTTGCCTCCCAAGCCCATGTTCTCTTTACTGCACTGCAGGATTGAAATTGGGACTTGTAGGTATTTAACTTTTCTGTTCCCTATAAACACCGTGGTTTTAGCAGATTGCTGAACCTGAACTTGGCATTGTGGACAGAGGCCTGTCCTCTCTCTGGTCAGAAGAAATGAGTTCCAGTCTTGACTCTGCCAGTTAAGAGATAGAAAGTGACCTCACATGGACCTCTTCACCTTTGGAGCCTGTAGTTTTTCATCACTAAGTGAAGGGCTTGGATAAATAAATGGCTTCCAAACACATCTTAGGTGCATACCTAACCCGCTTTTTCTTTTCAAATGAAATTTTTGTTGCCTGGCCCAGGTGTTAGGGACACGCTGGCCTTAAAAATCTAGAAGGGCTAACTCAAGCTTCAGTCCACACCCCGTGGAAGTACCAATCCCAGGGCTTCATCCCGTGGATGCCACTGCACTTGGGAGGGACCCTGCTTTGTCTTCTGCACATCATGGATTCAAGCATAACATTTGGCTCTTTACCTTCATTCCCACTGAAAACAACAGTAATGAGAGTCTGAGTGTATGGAGAAAAATAAATTACCAATTTTGGGGAGAAAATGAATGAGCTTACAAACAAACAGCTTAAATTTCCTGGTAGAGAATCATGCCACTAAACATTTTTGCCCTTTTTTAAAACTTGGGCTCCAAGCCCTGGCATGTTGACCCTTCTCCCTTCACTCCTCTCTCGTGTTCCTTCCTTTGCTCGCTGACCTTCCCAGGTTTCTGCTTCCCATGCAGAGACTAGCCCTCTACCTGAGGTCTCCAGACTCCACCTTTCACAGGCCCACCTGCCCTCCCAGGCAGCAGAAGTCCTGTTCTCTTCCTGAATAGAATGCTCACCTGGAGGAATTTGTGTGCCAAATGCTGACAATATTTTTATGAACAATGCCTCGCTTGCCACTTCCGTATGCAATTGATGGAGTGATGCTTTCTGCTGGAAGCTGTGGGGGAAGGCCCAGCACCTCACTTTCTGAGCCATGTAGCCCTCAGGGAAGTGTAGCTGGAAAAAAGCTGGACCAGATCATCTTTAAGGTGGAATCCTCTGCGAACCATTCCCTTCTCTGCTTCTTCTCAAAGACAGTGGCCACTTTCTCCTTTGAAACCCCCACTTCACCCCAAGCAGAGGCCAGGCAGAACATCTACAATGTGTGTTTGCATGTCTCTGTGTAAGAACCTGCTCACCGACCCAGTGGTCGGCAAACTCATTAGTCAACAGAGCCAAATATCAACAGTACAACGATTGAAATTTCTTTTGAGAGCTAAATTTTTTAAACTTAAATTATATAGGTAGGTACATTGTTAGTAACTTTAGGGTACTCCTAAGGCGTAGGAAGAGCCACACTCAAGGGGCCAAAGAGCCGCATGTGGCTCGCTAGCCGCAGTTTGCTGACCATGCGTAGGCTGTGAAGGGAGAGGACGGGGTGGATTATTATTTATCTTGGACGCCAGGTACTTGCTGAGCAGGATGCAATGACTGCTTGTGAATGAGGGCACCTAGCTGTGTGTGACCACTCAATGACAGAGGTGAGCTGAAAGGTACCATATAGACAAGAAAGCAGGCGAACCTGTGTACTGTGCTTGGAGGAAAACCATAATGACATCTTGCTCTCTCTGCCCTACTCCGTATGCGTGATGTCTGTAGCACACATAGCATGTTTCATGGTGCTGGGAAGAAGTTCTCCTTGAAAGCTTTATTCGTAAACGTTTTGTTATCAGCCCAGTTGGCCATTTTATTTAAATCATTTTGTGAAAGATCATGTTTGGATTAGTGTTGGGCATAAGTAAATGGCAGTTCTTTATCCTTTCTGAAACGCTGAAATGGCTCACTGAGGCATCGGTGCAGCTGTTGTAGGACGTGTAATGGCATTAGGCACTGAGTTGGAGAGGAATCTGGTGCCAGGCATTTCTGGCAGCGGCTGCAGTTCTAGAGATGCTCCCAGGGAGGAAGCTAACATTAGCAGCCACGCGAGGGGCAAGGCCGTCAGTGGGTGCCTTGCTGGAGTAGAATATTGGATTTTAGCACAAGGAAGAGCAAAGGGAGTTTTTACTTTTGACTCACAATCAGTAATGATTATTCTTGAAATTCCATTTCAATAACCCAAAATGCTCTGATCTGTAACTTGTGTGTTTTATGCAGCCCGCTCATTTCCCTCCCACCCTTCTTTCCTTCTGGTCAGGTGATATAAAACAACAACAACAACTAACTTATTATAGTACCCTACCCTCATTGGCTTCTGGGAGCACTAATGTCCTTCAGTTTTCTTATTCTAGTATTGTTTTGATGGAAGTGGGGGTTTGGCTCCCTTATTCCATCACTGTCCTAATTCTTTCTTTAATGAAACTGACAGATAAGGAGAATTGCTGTGATCATATCTCAGGGAAAGTTACCAAACTCTCTTTAAAGACCCATAGGAAACCTTTGCATTTCCCAATTACATGCACATTGTCCCTCTTTCCTTTTCCATTCTCCCTGCACATAAACACATATACAGGAAAAGAGGGTTAGTGGCCCAGAACACGGAGCTGGAGAAGCATGGGTAGGTTTTCTGGACGACCATTCCAAAGACACTTTATAATTAAGCAATAGACTAAAATTAGCTTCAAGTCGAGTGTTGACACATACAGAAATGTACAGATGTGGATACGTATGGAATAGGCCGTGATGCTTACTCATTAAAGGTCAGACCCTCGATCAACCAAAGGACTTATACGCATGCATATAAGCAAAACCAATGGGCACAGGCAGTAGGGGGTGAGGGCTTGTGCTTGGGGTGGGGGGTGGGGGTGGTCAGGGAGAGGTCAATGGGGGAAAAAGGAGACTCATGTAATACTTTAAACAATAAAGAATTTAAATTAAAAAAAGGTCAGAGCCTCCTCTAATTATTCATGCTTCTAAGCATTTTTAACAGAACTACATGCCACATACACATTTTTGAAACTCAAATGTGCAAGTTTCTGACCATTATGTATATTTTCCATCTAGAAACACTCATCTAGAAACACGCTCACTGAGCACAGGGCAAAACAAACTTCTCTGTGAAAGATGTACCATTATAAAGGACAGTGATCAGAGATCTTGTTATACATTCATTTCTTTCATTCACAAACACTTCTTAAACACCTTCATTGGGGTTTTGGAGTCTCCATAAATATTATCACCCTTTCCTGTCTCATGTTTACCATTTCAAAGATAGATGCACAGTCAGAAATATGAAGATCAAAATATTATTACCAGTAAGACTAATTGACAAAATGACCATATAAACTTACTAACATGATGACCACTCTCCAAGTTAAATATGTTGACCAACTTGCTCACTAAGGTTTCAGCACAGTGGAGAGAAATTTCTGAAGGCAGGTCCACTCCTTCCCGAGTGATCCATGATTGTCTGCCACATCTATATATATAAAAGGCTAAGCGACCTGCCGACTGGCCAACCA